TGGTAATTATGCGAGCGTGGGAGTGAAATCGAGCAGCTGAAATTAAATCCCACCAGTGCCTGCCTTTGCCCGGGTCGCGAAGAATGCCCGGTGATATTCATATTCGCAAGAAGCAGGGCGGGAAGGAAAAGAGCAAAATAAGAAAAAGAATTAATAAAGCCACGTCGCCTGTATCCGATGCGAGATTGAGCAAAAAATCCGGCGAAAATGACACGAATATCTCGCTCGAAGTTTTCCCTTAGTCTTTCGCCGTCGTGCTGAAACGAATCGCTTTGATTTCTTTCAAGCGCGTTTCGACTTTCGCGATGGCGCAAATGAGAACGTTTAAAGGATCAGAGCCGTCACGTACACCTCACAGAGGATATCTCCGGCCATTTTTTTCTTGATTCGTCTTTCGCGTCGACGAAGGGAAAAAGGTAGACATCCAGTCTGTGCCGCTGCATCTCGACGATTTGCCTCGTTTTACCTCCTTGAAAAGGTGCCGCGGATACTAAAAGCTTCAGGCTTGTCGGTGCCTTTTTTTTCGTTTAGGTGGAAGGCTTTAGAAAGATCGGTCGAGACGAGCACAAGAATAGTAAGAAAACACTGAGGAACTCCGCGAGGATAAAGCGCTGAGAGAAAGAGCCCGGCCGTTAAGGCGCGGATCGATGTGCGTGCGTATGTGTGTACGTGTGTCTGCGCCTGTCCGCGCCCGCGAATTTTTATCTACTTGTCGCGAAAGGCGTTTTATAATCTTCTGAAAATTGCACGCTTTTAGGATCGCACTTTTGTGCCGGTAACAGTAACTGCCTCCATTTCCTTTCATTCATTAGATCGCCTTTTAGAGACGGTCTCCTTCCTAGCCAGTGGTGTTCTCACCGACGGAACTTTAGTCGCGAGATACCCGATTAGTCGCTCTCGTTAGAGCGTCGAACGCGTAAATTGCCCTCATTATGTAATATCTCGAGCAGTTCGACACTGGTGTGTATATATATATATATATATATATATATATATATATATATATATATATATATATTCGGGGTAACTGAAATTTTTATTCGGCTGAGAAACGAGGAGAGACGCGCCAGCAGAAGATTATATATTCCGTCTGATCGTTTCCAGGCTTAACTACTGAGCCTTGCCATTTCTGACGGAGTGTACACTTAAGTGAGCTACCTGTGTAAATACCAACGAAACTTCCCTTAACAACACATGTGAGTTTCACGAAATATTAAACGAGATATCTACAGTTCAACATACATAGACGCGCGAGCCCTATAACTATAACTTACAATGTTGGTTTTCAAAGTAGCAACAGCTATATTTGGAATCCGTGTAATTTCGCCGAGTACGGGAAAAGAAACGCCATACCTTACGCAAATCGTAACGTCACACAGACGCGAATAAACTCGGGGAGGTCTTTGTAAGCTTGAAACCGAAACACACCGCGATTTCAATCTCTGACGATAACGCGTTGGGAACGCGCGCGGGAGGTGCTCTTTAACGCGCTCGGAAGTTACGTTCCTCGCATTCTGAGACGAAGTTCGACGACTCTGTTTTGCATTCGACGGAGATGTGCGTATAATACATGTATATATTCGGCGTGATGTTTTAAGCGACAGTAACGGCGGGGTGGCGACGACGACGAAGTGTTAAGTGGGCGAGAGGGTAAAGTGCCGCGAAGTTTTAACCAGTGACGTGTTAGCGGCGAAGTCGAGTGCACCGGTGCGAATTACATTCCTGCAACTCCGTTTTACAACAGGCCAAGTTGTCGCTCGTGTGTGCGTGCGTGCGCGCACGTGTGTGTCGCGTCGGTGTTTTGCACGCCGGCTACGAACGCGTGCGCGATGAATAACCACCTGCTGGTCCGCTATTTTTCGCGCCGTTTCGGCAACTCCTCGCTACGACAATTTGTACGATGAAGACACGTTACGTTGGATTGTTACGAATTATTAAGTGAATTTTCAACTCCGCCTTCGCTCGCGCATTGCTCTCGCGCGGACTCTCAACATTTTTACACGTACGCTATTTCAAAAACAATTCTTTTCATCGGTGCTTGCACCTTCTCACTTTTAAGAGATGAGCTTCTTAAACGCAGCAATAACAGAGAAGCGACCGCGAAGCGCCTCCCGGCGTTTTGCGCGCGGAAATTACGGTGTATTTGGTCGTAATAAGTGACTTTGCACAATTCGCTTAAAAGCTATATGCACTGTTATTACAAAGTTTCTTTACGACGACGAAAGAGAGCGTGCTCGCTTTTGTCTATTCGCCGGCCAACAAAAACACGCGGATCTGCGATGTTTGCCGACGGATCATATGTAGTTTCGGGATATAGCGGAGTGTATAGAGAGTTGCGGTGCGCGCATATACGAAGAAAAAGTATCATCCGGGCGTATATGCGTATGCTGAACGGCGAGCACTTATTGGCCCGGAGTGTTTTCCGGTCAACCGCCAAGTATATTCGATTTTATCGTGTTTGCGTATATAAAGAGAGCGGGACAGAACGCGGCGGTTACAAGAGAAAAACGAGCGGGAAAAGAAACAGAACACCGAGACCGTGTATAATCCGCGCATGAAAGCATGTGATCCGTATCGTAGCAGCGTATCGCTGTTATCTGTGCGAGCTCGCGCGACTCGTACTTTAGAATGAATTACTGAATCGCAAACTGCACGACACTGTGGAATAAATTAAACAGGATAATTACACCGGGAGCTGAACATTAACGTTACGACGGTATTGCGAGTATTAGCGTATTACGCCACCCGAACATTTCATTAAGCTGCTTAGACGCGATCCGGCCCGCAACGGAAACGGGGAATACGAAAAGTTCATAAAATATATTGAGTTTCGACGCATTCATTAAATTCTCACTTTTTCTCTGTCTGTCTGTCTGATATGTAGCGAGGCAGGAATATCATACGGTATACTCCTTAACATGAAATTCACTGAAAACGACTATTGAGTACCGCGATCCATCAGCCCTTTGACTTTTTACCGTTATTTAGCTTGACCCGCATTCGCGTGTGCACAACATTGCTGCGATAGGAAATTATTCGACGATCATTTCACCGGTGAGGTAACAAAATTTCTTGTCCGTTTCGCCTCCACTACCTCTCGCGTTCAACTTTATATCTCTGCATGTGCATTATTAACTGCTTTGTGGAATTTTAATCATATTTTCTCAGTCGTGCTCTATCCTTCCTGGCTGACGCAATTAACGTTATCCATTTTCGTACACGCAGTTCCACCGGGCTTCTATTTCGTTCGTCGTTCGTGCTGCGCTCATTCCATTTTCGTAGTCGTCGTCGTCGTCGTTAACGCGCGTTTATTTTAAATTTCAAGTCGCGCGCGCGAAACGCGATAAAATATACGACGTCGGCCGTAAAATCCGCGCGAATCGTCACAGGCGCCATTTCATAATTAGTGATCGATCGGCGAAGATGCATTCACTCATCGGGATTACAGGCTCTCGCAAAGTTGATCCGGCCGCATACAAATCCTCACGTGGTTATCAAATATTATTTTTAACACGCGGCCGCGTCCGCCCGTGTGGTTCGAACACGCGTCAGTTAAAAGCACCGTAGTTAAAATAACGCAAAATAATGGCGACGAGCTTTAACGCGTTAAATCGCACGTCAAAGCTTTATTCGAGGGAGGGAAAAAAAATCGCCGACATGCGCGCGCGCGCAATGTGTCCGATGAATCCGCGGATATGCGTCGCGAATCATCACACTGCGCGATCTGCTCGCGTGGCTTGACTTTGAACGCTAATTAATCGATTTACGCGAGGTGTATTATGAACGTACGAGCGCATTTTCTCTTTCTCTCTCTCTCTCTTTCTCTTTCCCTCTCTCGTTACTCTCATCGGTCGATAGCAAAGAGCCCGGAGACAAAATAGCAATTTCGATATCCTTCGGAAAATAAACATTTGTACGTGCCACTGGCAGGCGTTTACGCATGGCCTATTGAACATATACACATTTGCGTTGCAAATTGCGTTATCGTATATATCGCACGAATCCCGCCGTTGCCAGTCGGCGTGTATACGCCCGCTCTCGTTGTTCTTCGCTCTCTTTATTTCGCGAGCATTATCGAGAAAGCTGTGCGCGCGCGCACGCGGGAGGGGCGAATACATTGTTTTCGGCGTTCGATATTAGCTATCCCGCTTCGTCCTGCCGTCGAAATTTATTTCGCATGTACGCGTAAAAAAGATTATGTCGGGTAATCCGGGCGTGTATGAATTTTCTCACGCGGCGAAGCGACGTGGAAAATCCTTCCCCCTCAACGTACTTTTCCGCGACGGGACGCTCGAGAATCGAATCAAAGTGCGTGACAAAGAGGCGTCGAGGAACGACCCGATTGCATTTGTCGGTGCATTCGCTTCAATAGGCAAGTCCGCGTGTACAGTTGCGTTCTGTCTCTCTCTCTCTCTCTCTCTCTCTCTCTCTCTCTCTCTCTCTCT